AATTGGAATTGGAAGTGGCAAGAAGTAAGGGTGCTTGTTAAGAAAGGATTGGTGGGGGTCAGAAATGGTTGCATAGTTAGTTGCAAGGGGAGACCTTGAGACCACAAGGTTGCAGCTGGCAGCAGCTAGCAGATATTGTTTTGAAAATGGCTGGTGGTGTCCTTGAATTTGATACAGTACAGAAAATTCAAGTTTTCAGTGATGCAGGAACGTGTCTGAAACCACATTCACAATGGCCACTCAGCTCCATTTTGAATGCCTGAAACACAGTTACTCTAGTTTGATTTTTAAATGCATTCTTTTCTTTAATGGTTAAAGAAGATGTACAATGCATGTTTGGCAGGACATAAGATAGACTGTTACAGTTAGCATAAAGTTCAAGCCAAACCGTAAGTAAGCCAGAATGACCTCCCCATACCTCAATATGTGAAAATTTCTTCCATTAATTGGTACCAATAATAATTATTTGGTTGAGCTGTGCCAACAAAATAAACTAGAGAGTAAATATCTATATCTATACGTAAATCTATCTTTCTCTATCTCTATTGGGTCTTTAAAATTCATCCTTGGCATTCATTTGTTCATTCATTCATTCATTCATTCATTCAACAAAATTCTATTGTGTATCTGTTATGTATCATGCATTGTTTTCGGGGCTGGCCATTCAAGTATGAATTACTCTGTCTCTACCACAAAGGAACACACTGTCAAATAGGAGAGAAAGACATAGCTATTACCAAATGCCATTGCCAGATAAAATACAGGATGCCAAGTTAAATTTGAATTTCAGATTAAACAATGAATAAAGTACAAACTAATTTTAGTGCATTTTAATACATTAAATTTAAAAAATAAATTTAATGACTAATTTTGAGTATAGTAAATAACTTTTAGTACAAAGTAATTTTTAATGTCGCCATGCAATATTTAGGACATATTTCTATTTTTAAATATTAAAAATAATTCTATTTTTAAAAGTTCATTGTTTATCTGAAACTCAAACTTAACTGGGTGTCCTGCATTTTCATTTGCTACCTCTGACCATCTCACTTTGGTGTGTCTGAGAATTGTCTGATGTCAGGGCTAGTCATTTGTGGTTGTGAAATGTTCATGGTTTCCTATAAGTTTCCCTACTCTACAAATTATTTCCAAAGTGCTCCTAACGTGAATAAAGATAGAGGCAGATGGAGGAAGGGGAGTGTTTTCTCTGAAGAATCTGTTTGGCTCGTAAGTTCAATGGAAGTGCTAGGAGACTACAGAATATTGTAGTCACTGAATAAAACATGGAATTAAAGGAAAAGTAAAATATCTGTGCTTCTTAACACTATGACAGTAATAAGATGTTCCTGTTTGACTCACCTATACTATTGCTTATTTCCATCCATTGTCATTGACAAGTATGTTTGAGCAGAAGTCATTGGATTGGATCCATTAAATATTTACACTCTGAGAAAGCAATTGTTATTTTTTCAGCAGTAAAATACTTCTTAATTGTGGGTTGTATTAAGATAATTATTAGTTGCACTAAGAGAAATGTATTCTTTAGAATGGGAGAGGCAATTCCTCTTCCACAGTGTGCTGGTTGTAAGCTGCTGACTGATGGTTCAACATCTGTACACGCTGCTCCCTTATTCCCACCCCATGACCATCCCTATTATAAAACATAACAGAATAATCATATTTCTCTTTCCCCCTAACCACCATGATCTGAACTCCATTATTCAAATAAGTTCCAAGGGAATGTGTCCTCAAATTTGTACGGCATTAAAAGAGATCCGATGGCCAAATATAGATTTATTGCTACTTTTATTTCCTTGCCATTTAAAGGTGAAAACACACTTCTCCCTGTTTTATCAGAGACAAGCATGGGATTTAAAGTCTTCCTACAAGCTTAATTTAAAATCAATATTTGCCTGCTCTCCTAGGCCTTTGAAAAATGTCCAGGGTAGTGTTAGAGTAGAAAAGCAAATGTGCAAAACAAGTTCTACAAACCAGAAAATCAGCCTTGGGCCGGGTCATCGGAGTGAGCTGCTCTATTTGAAATGCATAAACTTTCCTGATAACTGTTCACTTTGCTGTTTCTTGCCTATCTCCAGTCAAAAACAACATGCAGCCACTCTAGATGATCCAATATACTTTTAACAATGTTAAAAATCATTACGTTCACCTTTATTTTTAGCTAAAATATGATCTCTCTATAACTGTTGTCTATTTGATTTTAGGACCAGAAAAATCTCTTCCCTTTACTAGTAGAAAGAACTGCTTTCCTCCTATCCCAGATAATAAAGTTTCCCTTCTTTGCTAAATGTTCAGTCTTCCTAGCTTGATCTGAACCTCCTAACACTTCTGGAGCCAATGATCCATCATTTCTTTGAATCACTCCCTCTCAATTTATTCTTCTCACTAAGCTGTTAAAGTATTTTCCCATTAAAAAATTATTTTCTTGACCAGATGTCTCATTATATAGTACCAGGTGTGGCTTCCTTCTTAATTTTCTTGTAAGAATAGACTATAATCATCTCCACTTCCTTACCTCCCATTTCTCTCAAACCACTAACTTACTGCCTTCCTTATTCCATTTATAGAGGTCTTTAAAAGGTATTGAACCACATTCTAATAGCCTTGCAAGTGCAAAGCACCTGAAACTAGAAACTCATCATTCTTCAACTAGCACTTTCTTGAGTCCACAAAACCTTGGAAGCTTCCTTGACCCCTTCTTCCTCACCAACCCCATCTAATCAGTCACCAAAGTCCTAGAGCTCACTCATAAAATCCATCCTGTCTCTACCATTATTGTTTTTACATAATCAATGGACCTGGCATATATTCAGTGCTTAATGTATGTTTAAATATATGAACTAGTTTATCAAAGAAGGGCGACTGTCAGGCCGATACTACCAGCTACTTCTCTTGCCTACTTGTAACAAGGTTCCAGAGAGTTTCTTGATGTTTCCCTGTCAGTTCGTGGACACTAAGTTAGACTCTCAGACTCAGGAGGCAACCCCTCTCCCTGGACTTTCCAGCTGACATTTTTGACAACAGACTTACACAGCTCGTCACACATTTGCCTTCACTTAGAACTTACGAGGATTTTCTGTCTTCAGCTGACAGCGTGTCTAGCAGGCCTAGAACACCTCCAGCACGTTCCCAACCTATTATGATCTTATTCTCTCCTCTTCCTGCACAATTAACTCCTCCACTGATTCCATTCAAGTAGAGAACAGGCTAGGCCTGAGAACTTCAAACTGCCTCTATTGTTTCTAGCAGCAGTTTTTGGCCTTTAGTTATTTAAAATAGTTGAGAGTTAAGAAACATCTATATTTCTGGGCTGTAACAAAACCCTGACATCTGCCATTAGCCATTCTCCCTAAGTATCTACTTTTTACTTACATTATTTCTAGACAGCTTCTCCTGTTCCTTAAAAGAGGAGTAAAAGCTGAGGAGGTCCCTATCCCTAGAAGATTCCCTCATTACTTTCATAAGAAAGAGTATAACCCAAACAGATAATATGATTAAAAGCTGGTATAAACCAAAGTTCTAGAGAACCAATGCTCAGTGCTTTACTGTATCTCCTTCTACCATGATAGTGATTACAGACACATATCCATGACACCTATTAGGTGCCGAGAATTGTTCTAAAGATGTCATATATAATTGTCTAATCCCCCAGCAAACTTACGATGTGAGTAACTTTACCATCTTCCCAATTTTATGGGAAAACTGAGGCAAAATGGTTTGTCCAGTCACACAGATCATAAGTGACAGACCTTGGGCGTAAACCCGTCTACTGAATTATTCATCTACCGTGCCTCTCCCTGAAGGCACTTAAGAGATTCTGCACCAACTAATCCCTTACCAAACTCAGGCCAGTCGCCTTACATGGTTGGAAATGTGTTCCTACTTTGCTTTCCTGATACATAGCACAGGTTTACAAAGCTCATTCCATGTCAAATGCCAGTGATATGAACAGTGTGTGATGTGAGAAATAAATACCACTCCAGGAATTCAATATGCTGCCTGCCCAAATGAGATTATTATTCGCCTGAGATGAATACTGGCTTGTGTTTCTCTTCGGTTACCTAAGTAGATATATTTTGAAACTAATCCCTGAAAGGATTTGGGAAATCAGTATAGGAGAGTTGAGACATCAAGACTGGAGAACAGAGGGATGCCATTAGGAGCTTTGTTTTCTTCCCTGAAGCCTCTGGCACCTGGTGAATTTCCAAAATCTTATCAAGAAAGCAACATATAATAATAGTAATACTTATCCCCTATTGACTATCAACTCTATGCCATATATTTTGCATCTGTTATCTTTAATCACTCCCAAACCCCAAATGAGATATATCATTTCCCCATTTTGCAGACGTTTCCCAAGGCTGAATGAGTTAAGCATTACTCAGAGTCAGAGAACTTGTGATGCTAGAACTGGAATTAAAGATTGAGTTTCTCTGATTCTAGCGTGTATGCTCTTCCCAAAAATACCTTGAATTCAGTCAGCCATGGGAAGGCATCTTTCTCGAGCAGCAGTAGCTCAGTACTTACCATGCCCAATAGTGAGCACCACAGTTCAAAGTGAACTGCCAAGATTCCTGCTAGCTTATATTCCAATGAAACTGATTCTTCATAGCATTTATGCCTGTTTATCTATATATATGCACACTTGGCAAATTAAAATTTGAAGGTCGATCAAGCATGTTTAATAACAGGAAGAAGTGCCTAATGATGAGGGTAAATTAAAATAACAAAAACCAAAATGGGGAAATATGTAACAAAACTGAGTATATCAGGATAGACTAGGTTATAATGCAGTTAACAAAAAAAGATGAAATACCTGTGATTTGACCAGACCAAAAAAAAAAAAAACCAAAAAACTATTTCTTGCTCACTGGAAGCCAGTTTAGGGTTCACATGACTCAGCAGGGTAGCTGACTTGAATGTGGCTGTTCGGCAATTCAGGCTTTTCTGAGATTTTGGCATCTCCTTCTCAACATGTGTTTTCACGATTGCAAGGAAAGTGCTGGTGGGTCTTTCATTGTCAACTGACATATTTCCCCACAGATATGACATTTATCACTTCCATTCCAACCTATTGGTTTTTCCAAAGTGCCTAGAAGGAAAGGAGAAATGAATATGGGTGAGTAATAGATATGTCTCCTACATGGAGTTAAAATCAAAGGGAGATAGAGAGGGAGAATGAGAATATAAAATAAAAGGATATAAAGAAACTCAAAATTAATAGATTACACTGTTTTATGATTGCATAATGGTCTGATCATTGTTTTGCTACCTTTTCTTAAGTTTTGAATGTTAAAAATTACTCTAAAGTCTTTTAGAGAAATATGCCTGTGTAAATCTCCATTGTCAGAATTGAAAAGCTTACAAAATGTTAATCTATATCCTCCATCAATCTTGGGGATGTTGTCCATCCTTGAAGGTTTCTGTAGGAGGGTGAAGAGGGTGGATGGTTAGGAGTGAAGAGGCTGAATATGATGTCAAGGCAAATAGTTTGTATTAGAAAAGCAAATCACTTCTCTGATTTTTTTCCTACCTTTTTTTTAACCTTTGAAAAGCAAAATGTTGATTACATTAATATACGTTAAGATCATGAAGGCATGAACTCATTGCTTGTGTTTATAACAGCACTAGACATTTGATCACTACTTAGAAAATAAAAAATGATTTTACCACTTTTAACTTGAGCCACATTTCCTTGATTTTTACAGTGAGAATATAGTTTTAGAAAGAACCATTGCTGGAAGTAAAGAGCCTGAGGAAAGAACATGGTCCTCCAGTCCAGTTGAGGGACACTGTGCTCCTCTCCAGGGTTAATGTAATCTAAGTCACATACAAATTGACTTGGCTGTCCAGATTTTCATATACTTGTAACAGATTATTGAAGAACACAGACTCTTAGAGGTGAAAATATGAGGTTAATTTTTTTTCCCACTAACTGTCCTTAGTAGTTACTATGTTATAAACTACTTTTCCCATCTCTTACTGCCTCTTGGTCTGAGTCTACACATTTTTCAGGCACTGTTGTTTATTAAAACTCCACTCAAGTCTACAACATCACTATTATGTGGATTCAAGTCTCCTTTTCTTCTCCAGGGATAGATAGACTCAAACAGCTTGGTGGTGGTGCATTCTTCTTACAGGATTTTTAACTCCTAAATCTTCTCAGAACTCTGACCCCTCAGGGCTTGGGACAGAGACATCAGGGAAAAGCGGCAAATCTCTCCTTACTTATCAGTATGATGGCACAATCTTCTCTTCTTGGTTCTTGACACTTCTCTGGCTGTCATTGATTGGCTGTCGGTGCTTTTTGGAGGGTATTCAAACACTAACTCTTAACCATTGGGCAGATAGATGGTGATTTGGAACTTCTCCACTACAAAGTTTTCTGATGTGCATGATCCAGAGTTGTCTCCACCTTTCCTCCCTTGAAGCCTACAACCATTGGTCTACAGCTCAGACCCTTCAGGCTAGTTACCCTATGGTTTACCAGTGCAAATACTTTTTCAGGTGAACAACTAATAACATAGCTGAAGCCCAGCCACCTTCTGGATTATCCACATCCCTAGCTGTGTTGAACAAAATAGTGGTCCCTCCAAAGACTTCTACATCCTAATCCCTGCAGTGTGTCATGTTACATGGCAAAGGGGAATTAAGGTTGCTGACAAAATTGAGGTTGCCAATCAGCCTCCAGAATTGTAGGAAATAAATTTCTGTTGTTTATAAACCACCCAGTCTATGATATTCCTGTTACAGCAGTTTGAACAGACTAAAGCCCCTTCTAATTTTTATTTTCTCTCCTACCACTGCTTTTTTTTTTTCCTTTGATTCCTGGAAGATTTTCCTCAACTCTTTTCCAACACATCTATTGAGTTTATTGTTTCTTTTACTGTATTTTTAATTTTCAAGAGCTCTTTTTAGTCCCTAAATGTACTTTAAGAGTAGTATCTTGTTCTTGTTCCAGGAATGCTGCGTTTTACTATCCATTTTACCTTCTCCAGAGACTAAAATCTCTAGTCTCCACTAGGTTGGGGAAAGTATAGTGTAGAGAGTATGTGAAGAAAGTGAAATGATCTAGGATTCTGGCTGCTTCTTAAACAGATTTGCAGCCAACTGCTGCTTTTAAACCATCTTTCTCCTTACTTCCAAAAGCTTCCAGCTCCTGGAGTGTTTTCAAGGATCAGCAATGCCAATTGCATTGCCTCTTGGCCTTTTACCATTGCCAGTTTAGGATTCAGCTCCCTCGGGGCTGGAAGATCAGTTAACACTCATTCTGATTTCGAATTCTGATATTTCATTTGTTTGCCTTTGCAATTATTTTTTTCTCCTTTTTTTTTGTATTTGCGGTATCTTTCCTTAAAAATATTCCTATTCACGCTTGTTTAAGTAGGGCTTCTATAAGGAGGCGGGATAAATGTAAATCTTCAGTTGACCATGTTGAATATCTTCAATTGGGATGGCACCACACATCTTTCTGAATGACTGACTTGGAATCCTCCCTGTCATCCTAATCACTTGGCTTTGGGGGAAGAAAGGAGATGGTACAGATAAAGAAAACCTTCCCAACACAAACCCGGTACTTCTGGGAGAACTAAGCACTGCTCGCCTGTCCCCCGCTGGTGGTTCCAGAGCTGGATCTACAGTCTTTTAGAAAATGTTGAATTAAAGGCACCATCCCAATTTTAGTTTCGAAGTGTCTCTTTTTAGAATTTGGCATTTAATTTTTGGCTTTGAGCTTTAGCTAAAATTCTGAGATAACAGAGAAGATCCCATTCGGTAGTCTTCTGTGCGCTAAGCTGATTTTTCTTTATTTCTTAAGAAAAGTCTTTTTTTTTTCTTTCAAGTTAAATTTCAGAGTTGTTCTGAGTGATCAAACAACTGATGATAGTTATTTTATTTGGGTTTCTTTCACCTGTACCTTTTGATTATCTGTGTCCTTGTCCTTAAACATAAGAGCAGGGATGTATTTTGTTTTTGTGCACTCACAAGTCTTCAGATGCTAATTATTCAGTGCCCAGAATACATGTGTCTTCCTAAATGAAGACGTGATTAGGTATACTTCATAACATACAGTTCTGTGTGCTAAAGAGTGGAAGAACTGAGTTTGGACTTTTAGGAAAAATCCTTATGTAAGACCATCAATCAAATAATAAAAGATCACATTTATATTTTGAAATATTTCATTTTTCCCTTCTTAACTTTTAAAAATATTTAATGGCTTAAGACAACTTGAATACCAGTTCTAATCCCTTGAACACACACACACACACACACACACATACACATCATAAATTCCCAGAACCCAAGTTTAAATGGTACCATAATCAATGATTTAAACTCTGTAACATCACTTCCCTTTTTAATACTCTCTGATTCCATTTAAGGAACTTACTCTGGGACCCTATCTATGTCTAGCAATAATAATATTCATTCCTTGGTGTTCTTTTCTCTTCTATTATTCTGTTATTCTGAAGTAAATTCAAATGTGAGTTTATTTTTCTATATGGTAACAAATAGTATTATTGTTCTATAAATTTTTACACACCAAGGTCTTCTATTTTTTTCTTTTCCTGGCAGTGGGGCACTGCTGGATTTTCCTCAATGACAAGCTTATCCAAAGGTTCTGTGCCTAGTGTCTTGAGCTCATTTTCATCATCATGTTCGAACTTACTAGAAGCATGATGTTGGGAGAGGAGAGTTTCCCTCATCCTATGTATCTTGCATATGCCTGTTAGCAATATTTTATGATCTCACTTTCTACAAAAATGTAGATAGGTTAGAGCTGTAATTTCTGGTAGCTAATTCAATCACAGTGAAAAAAAAATAAAGGAGAATTGTGCTGTACTGCCATAAATTCATCATTCACATTAGGGTGCTTACTTAGCAAAATGGAGCTTCAATCTTTGTTTGAAGTGATGATCACATTTTTGTAAGTGGCCAATCAGGAAAGTAATCAGAAAAGAAACAAAATGCGAGCAAGTGCTGGCTTTGCCTAGTATTGAGCCATTTCACTTAGAGTGAAAGGGAAGAATGAACTAGAGCAGACTGGTGTCAATTAATGACATATTATAGTTAAAGCCCGAGTGGGTTTGGGGGCACAGAGACCCATATGGACTCTGGTCTGTCATTTGCTAGCTGTGTGAGTTTGGGTAGATTACTCATCTAAACCTCAGTTGCCTCTTTGGGGAAGTAAAGATAGGATTCTTGTAAGGATTAAATGAGATAAAGCTTGTGAATGCAGTTTGTACATTGCAAAATGCCATGGAAATCCAACTGGTATGATTAACACTTTGTGTAGCTGAAGGGTGGATGAGATCGTGTTGCAGGACTATCTGACACAGTGCCTGATGTAGAACATGCTCCATGAATATTAGTAGTTCCTTTCTCTATCCAAGAAAGAAAAATGTGTCATCAGTAATGAACAACTGTAAGACACTGTGGAGATTTCAGTGCCACATACACATTTTTGGGGGAAATGATAATGACATGGAATATTCTAAAGTCCATATAATCCAATTGTGTAAGGATTATTATTGTAGCAGAAAGAGTAACAACTATGCTCACGTGGGTTATACAGCACAACTGGTTTTTCCTTTTCCCAAAAATAAGACTAACTAAGCTAAAATTTACATGAGGAATCAATAGCTTAGGTGATTGTGATAATAATAATGGTGAAGTTTAATGCTTTTTAGGAATAGAAAAGAAATTTAGAAAGCCTCTCCTTTATATTTCAATAGAACTGAGATTACTCAGAGATCTAATTTAAGTAAGTAATTATTTAGTTGAATAACTAAGTTACTAGGGAATCTATCTAGTTGGTAAGAAAACCAGAACTAAAATTCAAATCTACTGATCCCTCACTTCGTCCTCTTTCTGCAACGCCAGGCTGCCAATTCTGTAATACATGATTTCGTTAGTTTGATTGGACTTTAAAATACAGTGGTCATTGGAAAAACATTCCATTATTAAACATTCTAATGTGTGAGCCTGGGGTCTAGTGCCTTAGTCAAGATGTGTCTGGAGACTGAGAGCTCTCGTATATGAACAGCCAAACACTGCAATGGTGTCTACCTAAATGGTGTACCCAATGGGGCT